TTTTGTCGAGCTCACACATTTTCATGTTGCTGGTCACTCCGGGCACATTCAGAACGAATTTGTTGATCAGCTTGCTAAGAAAGCTCGCCGCGAGAGCGATGACCCTTGGTGTCGCTGCCTTCCCACATGGCCCGCACATCTCTGTGCACATCCCCTTGCCGCCTGGGCCTGGGCAGCCCCTACATGTCATGGCGACCTGCCTCCCCTGTACTGTTTTGAGTCAGAGGCCAGTAGACTGCAGCAGATCGGAAAGGACTTCGACAGAGCTCCCATGCAAGGGCTGCGAGAAGTTAGTTTTCCCGAAGGTATTGTGCAGTACACCATCAGGGCCATTACTCTAAATGTCTTGACACTCAAAGACCCTGGTGTAAAAAGCAAGCAACCTCAACCTGCAGGCATGAAAATCTTGGGCCGCAAAGGACTGTTAAAACATTCCTTACTCCCATCTCGCCCGCTCTTCGTAGGATTACAGGAAACCAGACTCATAGCAGAAGGGTGTCAGCATGATTCGGATTTCTACATCCTACAGTCGAGTGCCACCGATCTAGGGGTCGGCGGATGTGCACTTTGGGTGTCCAAAACTCAGCCTTATGCGACCTGTGGAGGGCAAGAATTACGCCTACAGGAAAAGCATCTTACTGTCACAGGTCATAGCCATCGGCATCTCACTGTCACGGTATCTGCGCCCAGGCTCCTTCTGCAGATTTCAGTCCTGCACGCTCCTTCCCTCGCACATGTTCCACGTGCTGATGTGGAACGTTTCTGGACAGCCAGAGCAGCCGACATTAAGGCTAGGCCGGAAGGCGCAGATTACATCATTTTGGCAGATGCTAATGCCAGGGTTGGTAGCGTAGGATCCCCTCACATCGGAGATCTCGACTTCGAAGTTGAAGCCGAAAGTGGAGAAATATTCCACAATTTCTTGGTCAGTGTCGATGGGCTGCTCCCGTCCACTTTCCATGGCATCCACCAAGGCAGCTCAGGCACCTGGCGTACCACCTATGGAGAGTGGCATCGCTTGGATTACGTGATACTACCACAAGCCTGGCACGCCGCCGAGCTCATCTCCCAAGTCCTCACCGATGTGGAGTTGATGCAAAAGAGGGAGGATCACCTTCCCGTCAGCCTGCATTGTGCTTTCGGTCGTAGACTTCCTGCCCTCCGGTATGTGGATTCCCGCAAACAGGTTGTTAGGCCCCCTGTTAATGTACGGGATACCCCTACAACCATCCTTGCTTTCCAGCAGCTTGCTCCTGTCGCTTGGGACACCACCGTCGACAAGCATTACCAGCTCCTCACGGATGGATGGCACACTGCTGCTGCTAGCCTCGATGAGGTTGCACCGGACCAAGGTCAACAAGTGTACTTGACTGCAGACACTCTCGACCTCGTTCGTCATAGGCAAGCCCTTCGCAGATATCTTTCTCAAGAGGCGCAAGAAACACGCCGGAGGTACTGCATGATTGGTTTTGCTGCCTTTCTGCTGCATGGGCAACATGGCTCCTTCACTGAAAATGCAGTACATACCGCTGACCGGTGGCTGCGTGTCATGGATCACAGCCAAGCTGCGGCATCTGCCCTCATCAGGTGGTATGGTCGCCGGCTCCGGACGGCCATTGCTGCAGACCGCAGAAGGTATTTGCAAAGCTTGGTTCACAATGCTGCACAGCTGGATCTGAGCACGCCCAAGGATCTCTACAAAGCCATTCGGAAAGCATTCCCTGCTGCCTGCTCTGCCCGGCGCAGCAAAATTGTTCCTCTTCCCACTTTGCAGCTTGCTGATGGCAGCCTCGCCCGCACCACCGAAGATCGAGCCGACGGGTGGAGGAAACATTTTTCCACCCAGGAACTCGGGGAGGATGTCAGTCCATCTGCTTACCTGCAGCAGGTACGTGCACTCTCAGGTCCAGCAAGCTTTACCGCTTTTGATATACATGCCATCCCCACTCTGGCACAAGCAGAGCAGGTTGTCTTAGGACTGAAGAACCAGAAAGCTGCTGGCCCTGACGGGCTGACCAGTGAGGTGATGAGAGCCTGCACCACCACTACCACTCGACAGTTGATCCCTGTCCTCGTCAAAACCACCCTACGGATACAAGAACCCATTATGTGGAGAGGAGGCAACCTTTTTGTGCTGGCCAAGAAAGCTTGTGCAAAGTTGACCTGTGAAAACTATCGGTCTATCCTTGTATCCTGCATACCTGCCAAGGTATATCACAGGTGTTTGAGAGCAGGTCTGAAGCCACATCTGTTGTCTTCACAGCCAGATATGCAATTTGGCGTCCGTGCTGGTGTAGGCATTGAAACGCCAGCACTCGCCATACGCAGCTTCATCGGGTTGATGGATGCCACTCGTCGCCCATGGGGCGTCGTTTTTGTGGATCTAGCTGCGGCCTTTTATACGGTACTTAGACAGAGTCTAGTCCCCAACCCCGATTCGGAAGAAGGGTTCCTTAAGTTGCTGCACTCGCTTGATCTGCCGGAGGGCGCGATTTCTGAACTCTATCAGCATTTGCAGAATGCTGCAGAGCTTCCGGCACAAGGCGCCTCACCACATCAAGTCGAGTTGGTCCGTGATCTCTTCACTGGCAGTTGGTTTAGGCTCAGTAGTCATCCGACTTTGGTGCTTACGCATCGAGGTACCAGGCCTGGCGACCCCTTGGCAGATTTGCTCTTTGCATTTACACTGTCAGCCTATCTTCGAAAGGTGGGTAACCTTTTGGACCAGGCAGGCCTATCACAGCCTTTGCCCCGCCCTCCCTCTACCCCTGATTGGGCTGACACTGTTGACCACCCCAGCCTGGGGCATCCAGCTTGGGCGGATGATTTCACTTGGCCCTTATGTGCACCGACTGCAGCCTCCCTGATCGAAAGAGCCCAGCTTGGCACTTCGCTTCTGCTGACTCATGCTACCAGTATTGGCATGTGTCTGAAGTTCGGCGACGAGAAAACAGCCCTCCTCTTGTCAGAGGCTGTCAAGCGTGATGCGGCCGGGTTGATTGACTGCGACGACAACGGAGGCCAACACCTCCGGGTCAAGGACACGTGCCGTGGAGTCCTTCATGCTTTGCCTATAGTTACGGCGTACAAGCACCTCGGTGGAATTGTGGTGTCCAATTCTTCACCTGCACCAGATTTATATCATCGCTTTTCCCGTGCGGCTGGGACCGCCAAGCCTTTGCGACAGGTCTTCTTTGGGTCAAAACTTTTTTGCCTGGACGTTCGGAAGTCCCTTCTCACAGCCCTGGTGATTTCCAAGTATACCCACACGGGTGCAGCATTGATATTGCGTGCCGCATGTCATGTTCGGCTTTGGGAGAGACATTACGTCTCCCTCTGGCGCAATCTGACAAGACGCACTACGCCAGAACAGCAAGCACACTCTCTTGAGATCCTCCATCAGGCCTCTGCCGCCGCTCCCCCGCTCGCCATCGCAAAGACACGTGCTTCCTTTCTCGTGAAACTTTTCTCCCAAGGTGCCACCGTCTTGGGCACGCTGCTTGTCGATCATTTCTTGTTACATCCAGCTTCCTCTTGGCTTGATCAGCTCCGTGCTGATGTGGCTTACGCTGCCCTGTATCTTCCACAGGTTCGCGATGTTTTGCCCGTTGGCCGAGAAATCTCTGGACTGGTCGAGGCTGCACGTGAGAACCCCACTTGGTGGCGTAATACGCTTCGGCAAGTTGAGAAGTTGTTTCTCAAGGACCTCGCCCAGTGGCACGAGTCCAGAGATAGCAAAAGTGCCAAGGTGCACACCCCTGATCCTTCCCAGGATGATGTCACTGCGGCAGAGCTTCCCGCTCCACACACTGCCAAAGATTTCTGGTGCAAGATTTGTTCCAAAGGTTTCGAACTTCGAAAGCATTTGCATTTGCACATGGCCAAGAGCCATGGGCTTCTTAGTCCGGCCAGGCACTATGCAATCAGCGAGACATGCAGCGCCTGTGGCAAACACTATGGAACCATCGCTCAGGTGCAGCAGCACCTCAAATCAGCACCAACCTGTCTGCGTCGATGCTGCTTCCTGCACCCACCATTGTCCAAGGATGAAATTGTGCGAGTCGAGCTGCCCGGCAAACAGAGGTCTAAGACCGTCCGTTCCGGTTGTTGGCGTGCCTTTCAGGCCCGACCTCCGCCAGCACCAGCTCCTCGTACATGTGGGCCCTTGCTACCCACAGACGCCGAGCGCCACGAGGGCACTCAGCGGGGTGAGCAAACACTTCTTTCCGATCTTACCCGTCGATATACGCCCGGTCCTGACACCATTTCCTGGATCGACGACTATATTGCTAGTAAGTCGGTAGAAGGGCCAAGAGCCACCGCCGCCAGATATTGGCAGCGCAAGCCCACTTCTTTTCTCTGAACCGTCTCACCAGCATGTCGAATTCATAGTTTTGGACGCGCCCTAATGAGGGCTCTGGAGTCCTACCAACAACAACAACAATATACTATTATGGGGGCTTCCTGATTATTATGTATTTAATGTATAATATGCCCCAAAGCCCTATTCTAATCATTAAGGCCCTTATATTGCCTCATATATCAACTTCAAAAGAGAGCCTTGGACTTGGGTGTCTTGGAAGTTCAGGCTTTAGTGGATTTGGGGGTTAAGGCAGTTTCGGGAGTTGGGGCTACGGGGGTTTGGGCGTTTAGGTGTTGAGAGTTTGGCAGATACGGAGTTTCGTCCTGTGGGATCAGGGCGGTTGCGGATTTAGAGGCTTCGAGCTGAAATCTTGGGGCATAAAGACTTTGAGTTCGGGGCTGTGACTAAGGCGGTTTAGGGTTTGAGGTCTGTGCTGAACTGGGAGTGATTGAGAATAGTCATAGTCTATCTTCTTCTTTCCCGCGTAAATTATAAGCTTTCCTTAGGCCTTCTGAGGCCTGTGGAAACTGGGAATTCCTTAAAGGCCTGGGAATTCCCACATTTTAAAAGCGTTGCGCCGAAACCCCGAACCCCAAGCCCCAAACCCCTGAACCCCGGACGGTCCGTCCCATGCCAGGATTTTTGCAAGTGCGTTCGTGAAGGAAAAGATTACAGGACTGCCGTGGGAAGGGTGTCATGGGTTTGCAATACAGGTGCCTTGAATCAGGGGCATAAGCATTTTATAGGGATATCCCTAGCTTAATGGGCTTCATTATAAGGGGGTATATATGGGATATCCCTATCCTAATTTTTGCTTATGTGCTTCTTTGGGGTCCGATTGAAGAACAATTACATATGGTCTTTAAGGTTTCTTAATATAAACTCCATTCAAAATATTGAGGCCCCCGAGGCACCTGAACCCCAAGCCCTTAACCCCAAAGCCTGAACCCTAATCCAAGAAACCCCCCCATCCCTTAACCAAAAGGCCGGGAATTGAGTGTTTGGGGCTGGGCTTTGCCTGCACTTCGAGTTGAAACCCAGACTGACACAAACCGGAAGCATCATGCCAAATCACGGTAAAATCAGAGCGCAAACTCAACAAGGTCCTGGCCCTCAATTGTGGGTGTTTGGATGAGATGGAAGGCACTTCCGGGTTATGGCTCCTTCTCAAACCGAGGAGCGCTCATAAACCTTGAGATTTCAGGCTCAAAGAGATGGCATCTAAATGACATAGTTCCTGTATTCAATCTAAATGCCAAACCATATGCTAAGCTGTCGACTTGCGCGCGACAGACTGAAGCCAACACTTTCAATTTAGGCAGCGAGATCCGCTGTTAAACGGCGCGGTGTAGATTCATACTATCTTCCGCGCAAGCACGCGATGTCAAACTGCGACAAACCCCTTTCTGCTCTAAACCCAACACCCGACTCCCTGTACCCCAACCAGAGCTTTGCGTGTAACATGTCGGATGGCAGTGTGGCAACCTGGATCAACAAACCTTTAATACTACAGGGATCAGGGTTTATAAGGGCTTAACAGGGTTCAGGTGCCCAAGATAGTCAGAGCAGTTTTCTCAATGAGTCTCTGCGCTTATCCTACGGCCCGAGGTCCTAAAAGCCATAAATATATATATATATATATATATATATATATATATATACATAGACGCCGCTAGAGTCTGTATGGTTAGACGGTGTTACTGCAATCGACCCCAAAAAACCATCCTCATTTTTGAGGGACCAAAGTCTTCTGGAACCCTTGTCCAACTCTTGCAAAGCCTATTCAGGAACTTTTATCCCTGATGTACCTGCAAAACCGCAGTCACGGTTAATGATGAAGTTTCCGGGCGAGAGGGTCCACAATACTACCATCCTGGAATGAGGATCCGAAACCATCTGCATGGTGGGTCTTTGGGTGTATACCTATAGTATCCATTGTAGTTCCTTTTTTTGGTTAACCAACCTTATGGTTAGGATCCTATAAAAGAGTTTTTGGTCAACCAAAAGAAAGAACTACAATGGAGACTATAGGTATGGGCCCTCGAGGTAACAGCAACCCATGAGCAACAAGCGTCGAACATGCTTGGTTCAGGGTTTAGGGGTTTAGGGTCTAGGGGTAATATAGGAGCCCGAATAAATACCAATACTATTTGGGGTTCTTTATTCTAATTAGAGTATAATGGGCCCCAAAGCCCTATTCTAATTATTAAGGCCCCTATAGTAGGGTAGGAACCCAAAACCTGATCCAGCGGGAGTACCCCGCATGTACATTGCTTCTCTTAGTGATTTTCGTGCAAGCAACCCCAGCATAGCAGAGGGTCCCAAATTGTGGGGGGTTCTACTTTACAGTAAACCCCATGAAGTTGGAAGCCTGATTAAGGCCAAAGAGTGCTGGGATTCCCTATACATTACTGTTAAGGATTGAGGCTATTGGGTTTCCAACTTTTTGGCTTCTACTGTATACATGCGGCGGTCTTTTTGGGTTTCGGTTTCGGGTTATCGGGCTATACCTATAGTCTCCTTTGTAGTTCCTGTTTTTGATTATCCAACTTTATGGTTAGGATCCTATAATAGAGTTTTTGGTCAACCAAAAAAAGGAACTACAATGGAGACTATAGGTAGATTTAGTGTAAAGTTTGGGGTTGATGGTGAAGGGTGGAATAGAGCCACATGGAGTTTACAGCATGGTTTGGGATACGGGGAATCCACAAGCTCAGCTGCTTGCGGAGAATAGAGTCACAAACCGCGGAGGCAAGAAACCTAAGCCCATACCCATCGCATAGTTCTGTAAACCCCATTTCATCATCAGGCTCTAGCAGGCCTGATTCAGATTTGCAGAACTGTTAAAACCTGATTGCGATGTTTTCCAGCATCCGTGTATCCAGCCAATCTTACTTCGCACCACTATTTGCAGCAAGGATCCCCGATGCTGAGCGTGAAGAGTGGATGCCGATGGGTAGAGCAGGCGGAACAAGTTGTGTTTTTTGCACAGACTTGGGCATGGTGCTTTTGGTTTTGAGGATTAAGCATTTAGGGCTGGCAGAGGGAGGGGCTAAACGGATACATAGTTCTACAAAACTCCCAATACTTTTGTGGGGGTTCCTTGACCCAAACCCCTATTCTAACTATTGAGGCCCCTTTACTGCTGCATGTAGTGATGTCGTCGTTCTCCGTGTTTTTTTAAGCGGTTCTTTGAGACTTTTGGGCCAAGCCGGTTTGGGTTTTCGACTTAGGGTTAGTGTAGCATCGTGCGCAGATTCAGATCTAGAGCTTCCTTACAGTCCCTACAACAGCTTTTGCATGCTTGTGGCAGTGTGGACTATTCAGTTCTTCCCTGATGATGCGATCCACATGGTGTTGCCTATCTCTTTCTGGACCACAGTCTCTAAAATACATTCACAGCCTCCATATCCGAATCTATCTGGCTCATGCAAGACCCAATCTTTCACCACAAAATCCCCAGACTCCGCCAGGATCCCAAATGTCAAAGCCCTTCAAGTTTGAACCTGTCGTGAACGATCTCCGGAGAATAGCTCGGTACTGACATTCAATCATAGGGATCCTTAGGGGTGTAGGGGGAGGGGGGGTAGGGGGCCTTAAGGCCCATAATAAGGACTCATAAGGCCTATTTAAGGAAATATAGTCCCCTACACCCCTCCCCCCTACACCCCTAAGGATCCCTATGATTCAAGGGGGGGGCAGAGTTCGCCGTCGGGTCTTGGCCTTGCTGCACAGGGCTTGCTGGGGTCTTGGGCTGAGTGTGAAAGTTAAGGTTGGACCTTTTAGGGTTTAGGGTTTAGGATTTAGGGTTTAGGATTTAGGGTTTAGGGTTTAGGATTTAGGGTTTAGGGTTTAGGGTTTAGGGTTTAGGATTTAGGGTTTAGGGTTTAGTCTCCATTGTAATTCCTTTTTTTGGGCTAACCGATTTTATGGTTAGGATCCTATAATAGAGTTTTTGGCTAACCAAAAAAGGGAACTACAATGGAGACTATAGGTAGGGTCTGAGTACTATGCTTAGCAAAAAACACGTCAGCCTCTAGGCCTCGGAATGTATAGGTTTGAGGTTTACCTGGAACTCACAAACCTAGAAGCTAGCGGGTCCTGACCCCTTCTTAATTCTATCCCTAAACCCTAAACCTCTAAACCCTAAATCCCTAAACCCTAAACCTCTAAACCATATGGGATGGAACATGCCCAGAACCTCGCCGAGAGTCCTAGAGTTTCTCCCAGACTCTGATTTGAGTACAATGGTGTCTTAGAGTCTCAACCGGAAAGAGCAGAAGTATGTTTCCAGAGGACGGAGTACCTACGCATCAAGTTTTAGGCCTTGCAGGTGATGACCTCAATGCCCGTCCTGATGTGAAGCAGTGTTTTGATGGTTGTTTTTTAGGGGGTCTGGCCCTCGGTGTTCCTGTTGATGATATTTAAATCCTGCATCGCCCATAATAAGAAATATACTATAATTTCCATAGTTTAGGGTCCTTCAGGTAATGCAGGATTTATATCATCAACCGTCGGACGAGCTTCAACCTCTTTCATCAGGTGATGAGCTGTTTTGCTTTCAGCGCAACGCTCGCAAGGTCAGCCCGGAAGGGGGCTGCGCTAGCTTCTTGTGTTGTGTTTTAGCAGGCCTTGACATGCGCATTTGCCGACATCGGGGTTTTCTCGTTTTGTTGACGCGACGTTTGTTCATGCAACTGTTAACTTAGCTTCCTGTGTTTTACCGGCTCTTTCAGGGTTCCGTCCGTCGGTCCTATTCGGGTTCACAAGGCCTGTCATCCTCTGGAACGTCCATATCCCCTGAGGCTTTTCTCGCTGACATGTTGGGATTTACGGTTTGGGGATTTTACGGTTCAGGGCATCTTGTGTTAAAAGCCCAGGCTTCAGTTTGACATCATCCTGAGCGTAATCTCGTATGTTCTCGAGCATTTGCGAAGGACACTACACCACGAACCCTAAACCTGAAGACTACAACCCTAAACCATAAACCCTTCAGGAAGGTGAGTCGAATCAGGGTGAGGGTTGAGCATCGATGACGGAAACGCTACAAGTGAGCAAAGCTCAGGTTTTTGGCAACATGTCTGCCCAATATGGGCTAAGATGCCTAGAAGACTAGTGCAGACTCAATGAGGCCCTCAAAAGCCATCTACCCTCTATTAGACCCTAAATGCCCCTTATTTGGACCATATACCCCTATTCGAGGGTACAAGGAGGGTCCTGGTTCAGTTAGGTGATGTCTTCTCCCCCGGCCTGGCATCTGGGGGTAACGGTGGAGTAACTTACACAGACTTAGGGCCTTCAAGCTAAACATGCCACCCTTCAACATTAGTCAAGAAAATCTTGCAGCTGTTTGAGTATCTTACAGCATTATGGTTTGTGTGTAGAGATCTGAAGAACTGGAAACACTATCCCCTGAATATCCCCGTAGAGCTACGCCGTGACCTCCTCGACAGATCGCTTGTAGAACCCCTTAACCCTGATAGAAGCCTTCAGGCCTACATTAAACCCTTATGTGCCATATAAAATCCGTCCGAGACCCTTCTTTAAATCGCCTCTCCAACCCTTTATAAGATAAAAAAGGGTGGTTTTCGAAAATGGGGGGCCCTAAAATAGAACCTTAAAATAGTAGGATCCTGATTACAAGGACCCTAAAATATGCCCTACTTTTCGGAAACTCCGATAAGCCCTGCATGCTTGCACGCGCCTCTTGCGACATCCGGCGACCTGCTTCCAGCACGGCCCTGTCAGGACGGTTCTCTTTTCAACAACCTGTTTTACATGAAGGCCGGGTGCTTCAATTGGGGGTGCCTTATTTTGGCGTCCTTATAATAAGGATCCTACTATTTACGGTACTATATTATTCCCCTATTTTCGGAAACCCCCTCGTTGCATTTTGGGGGTGGCTTTGGTGTCGAGGCTTTGTGTGGTTGAGGCTCGCACGGGGATGAGCCTCACCAGAACTCTCTGGGTGTACTACAAACTCTAAGCAGGAATCCTGGAACCTGATCATTTACGTAACACTAGACGCCGAAAAGCAATACCTGATCAAGACAAACTGAACCCTGAGCCTTATGAACAAGGCTCGCACCGAACATCCAAAGCCCGGAGCCTGGAAGACGGATAAACCGCATCCTTCTTGAAGAAAGGACAACACGTCTCAGGCCCTCAACAGAGCAACATGCACGAAGTCCCTTTAGAATGATTCACACCCCAAGCTCATTCTGCACACAGAACCTAAAACCCCAGTCCACATCAAGAAGACAAAGCCCTGCGGCCCTTGAGCAAGCTGTACGTCTGACATCCGACAACCCCAAAACATAGCCCGATAAACACCGTCAAGCCTTGTACCGCATAAACACCCCAGATCTCCTTCTCCCAGAGGTCATCGAGCTAAGTATCGAGCTGGGTGATGAACTGCCGTACATCGTCACTCTGCTCGCAAAAAGCGATTCCTGCTTCAGCTGGGTTCTATCGGGTTTGTAGTGTCTTTCTATACGGCGGTTTGTGTTTCTTTTAAAGCTTTGCTTAAGACCTACAGCTCCGACATTTTGGGTTCTTTGCAGGGTTCTCGGTAGGTGGGCTAATTAATTTGTTAGTTCTGCAGAGGGTTGTAGATGGTTGGGGCGTTCAAGCCTTGAGTTCTGTGCAGGGCTCTGCGTTGGCGACAGAGATGCGTAACTTGAGATGGGAAGTTCGATGTCTAACCCAGTCCCCCGCAGATGCCACAGAGCCAAATTGCTGTCTTACGTCCAAGACTGCAACTGCCAGGTTGAAACGGCGGCAGGTGCATTTTGAGGCGAGCCAGAGGGGCAGGTGGTAATCACACTGTTGGAGCTCGTTTTCAAGCGGGGCCTTGCTGCTGGAAGGCTTTGCCGTTTGAGGATGATTTGTTCGACTTGGTGAGTCTCGGTGAGGCCGCCCAAGACACTATAGCTCCTTTCAGGTTTTTGCGCAGACGTGCGAGACGTGCTTGGTGGCGTGCTGTGTGTGAGTGGCATAGGGCCGCCCAAAAAGTCACAGCGCTTTTCGTAGGGGCCATCGTAGGGCATGCAGCTAAGTTGAAGGGTCGTACAAGGCTTAGGGTTTCAGGTTCGGGTTTCTTGTAGGCACCTTGTTTATATGGGGTGTTGAGGACTACCGGAAGTTTGTGGTGATTAGGTTTAGCCTTGAGGGTTTATAATTCCTTAATACTACTGTTGATGATATAAATCCTTCATCACCCATAGTAAGGAATATACCATAATTCCCATAGTTTAGGGCCCTTAAGGTAATGTCATCAACCGTAGGGCACTAGGGTGTAGATAGTCTTCCCGAAGCCTGCAACTGAGGCCATGCCTTTTGCCCCAAACCCTGAAGCCCCCAATGCCAAATCCATCGAGGGCGAGAGGTTTATATTAGAAGGGGCCCCCACCTTGTAATAGTGGTAGAATCGAATATAATAGGCCTTATAGTCACTATTACAGGGTGGGGGCAGCTTCTAAGGGAGAGGTTTATACACCAGGGGTCTACATCAAGTTGACAAGGCCGTTAGGCGCCAGCAGGTTGATGCATTCCCTGCACCTGCAGCTCTTTGAATCTCGACATCCTCCTGACTCCTCGATATGGGAGTATCAGAAAATCCGGGGTACCTTATTTTGGGGTGCTTATAATAAGGAGCCTATATTTAGGGAACTCTATTAGAGTCCCCTATTTTCGGAAACTCCCATATTTGTGATCTAACCGGAACCCTGCACTAAACTTGACACCTTTGAACCTGCACCCCACCTCAAGCCTCCGAAAACAAATGGAACACCTTGAAACACCTTACGTCCGAATGCTCCCAGCCCTGGCTATCCATTTCAAAACCCCGAAGCCCTAAAACGTTTTCAGAGCTTTAGCAAAACTAAGCCTCTTTTCGAGCTTATACAAACAGAAAAAGGATCGTCACGGGACTGTTCATACAAAAAAACCGAAGCGGCTCATAATATAGGGCCCATCTCAGCCCTTCACAAACAACAAACAAGACCCTAAGCCCTGAGCTTAGAAACCTTGCGTTTTTGCTGCGCGTTAAAGCATTCCGTTGCATGATATTGTAGTATAGTTCGGTTGTATTTTTAAACTGCATGTTGCAGCATGTTTTAGTGCACCTTAAGTTCAGAGTCGCTAAATAAACCCTAAACCCCAAATCCCCTAAACACCCAAACTCCTACACACCCAAATCCTCAAACCCAGAACACCCACACCCCTAAACCCTAAAAAACCCAAACCCCTAACCCCTAATAACCCCTAAATCCCCATACCCCAAACCCCCTAAAACCCCCAACCCCTAACCCCCCCCCCCCCCCCCCCCCACAACTTTTGTAAAAACCCGTCTCTTTGGTTGTTGCACTAACATATGGGGACAAAATATTTTTCCCCAAGATGTTAGGGGCCAACTTTTTTTCACCAATATCCCTAAACCCTAAACCTTAGTCTAGGTAGGGCTTTGAGACATTTTATATTTTCCCTTATTGGTCTTAAGAGGATCTTATTTACTAATATTTTCAAAGGCTCTAAAAGCCCCACCTAGTAGTGCTCTGCTAAGGTCGGCCTCCAGTCTGAGCTTCCCAGCGGCAAGGTCGCGGTACCAGCGTCTTAAAGCTTAGGGATCTTAGGGATCTTAACGACATGGGGTTTTTAGGTTTGCTAAAAAGTCTATGGTCTTAAGGGTATGAGGTTCGACGTCGGGTTTAGAGATTTTGCTGGTTTAAGGGGTTTAGGGTCTTAGGACGCAGTTGTGTTTGGCAATGGTTGCTTGCTGTATGTTATGCGGTTGTGCAATCTTCTTGCAGGTCCAATCGTGCAGGTTTTCTCCGGGTCTTTTCTCATGAGAGGTTCATTCCGCTTGAGGGTTTCAGGTTCCCTGGCCTAGGATTGTTCGTTTGTTTGGGTGTTGGGGTTTGGGGTTGTGCTTCTGCTTTGTGTGTAGGGCTGGGCTTCGGCATTTAGAAGCAGCAGCTGGATGCCAAGTCCGACGTGTAAGACATGTGAAATAGTCAGGAGCATGATGCGCTTATCGCAGGTTCTTCGGTAGGTTTTGGGGTTTTGTCGGTTGGGTTTAGAGCTTAGGCTTTAGAGTTTACTGTAGCTTCTGTTGAGACCTGGATAATCCCAGACATACACACCACCTGTTCACGGATCCCTTCCTTAGTAGTTTTGCCATGATGGTGGTCGGGTATGGAGACTATGCCTGGGTGTGTGGGTTCAGCTTTAGTGCTAGAAACTGAACCCAGCCTTGCATGACACCAAGAAGCCTAACATGAATGTTTGAGGGACTCTAGTTGTTTAGAGTTTAGGGGTTTAGGGTTTAGGGGTTTAGGGTTTAGGGTTTTAGGGTTTAGGGTTTAGGGTTTAGGGTTTTAGGGTTTTAGGGTGCTATGACCTCCTGACTGGCCTGAAGCACCATTGGAATAGGGCTTCATCCCCAGTGGTCCTCGCACAGGGTTGGATGTTAATGTAGCCATTTAACACTTCCGGGTGTGGGGTCCTTCTGCATGGGCGCTCCAAGGTAGTTCCTTAATTGGCTAGGATCCTGCAATCGTGTGGGTCGTGGTTGGATTTTCAACGGCAGGCTCTTGCAGCTTCAATGTGTTGAGGTGCAAGGAACAGCAAGAATGCCTTAAACCCTAAACCCTAAAGCCGAAACCTAAGCGCGTGCAGGCGGACTTGCAACAGCTTGCGAAGAATCTGAAGGTCCTCGATCACAACATGAGCCAGGTGGACTTCGCTTGGTTCCTTCAGGGTCCATGTACCCGAATAAATCCAAAGCTACTTAAATTGGACTACTTTAAGACTAAATGATGTACAATTTGGGCACATGGACCCTTAGGGGTTGTTAAAGTATCTAGGGCAGCTTCTTAAGACAGCGCTTGCACGGTCTTTTGGTGTTAGTGGACTGTAACGAATCTGCTCATCCCCTACGCAATCTGACCTGAAGGGTTTTGGGTGTCGGATGTTCGGCCATTTTCGCCCATGCTTTCGAGATGCCAATCCTGAAATCCTAAACCCTCAGAGAGCCGAATCCTCAAGCCTCACCCCATGAAAGTTGTCTAGTGCAAGCTTGAGTATAACTGGGAGCCTTGGAGAAGAAGAATTCGTGACAAGGCACGAAATCTGAAATCGAGTAGCTCCAAAAGCCCGGGGGTCATTTGCCCAGGTGCGGGTTTACTTGGAGGGTTCCTATGTATGTACATTATTGCGCAAGAATAGACTACAGGGGTACATGCACCCTCATAGGGGCAGGCCTCCGGACATTGCGTTCAAAATACGGCGCAGCCTTCCTCTCGGTTCCATCCCTCGGAGAAGGGACACAATCCGAAAGACCCCTTAACCCTCAACTGCCGCGCAAACTTCGGGTCGATTACAAGCACAATTACCAAATGCTGATGGTGAGGCCTACTACTACACTCGTAGAGCATGTCCGGACGCCTAAAGACCCTCCGGACACTGATCCATCATCCCTCCTCACGCGCATACATTCATTCGGGCATTCACTCGACACTGAGAACCTTGAGTTGTGCATGCTTACTTCTGTTGTGTTCTTGTCTACAGGGGTCTCCGGAAAATCTGCGCAAGCCTGTTGTGGATTTGAGTGAAGCCTCCAACTTGCCCCCTAAACCCTAAACCCCTAAACCCTAAACACTAAACCCAAAGCTCACGCATGCTTTGGCCAGGTCATTAGCGACTTGGCTGGAAGGTCTCAAGTTTTTTGCTGCGGACGATACGGGCCGAAGTAATTACCTACACTATTTTGCGATTCGTTCTTATAATTATAGTATATTTGGCCCCAAAACCCTAGATCAGGAATGCAATTCTAAAAGTGCCTGCGAATTCCGCTCTCACCACTCAGGGCCAGGATTAAAACTTGGCGGGGTCCGAGGCTTCGGTTCGGGGCTCAAGCAGGGATCAAAGAAGCCATTACTTAATATCTAGGACCTAGAGTAGGCCCTTATTCCCTTTTTAAGGGTTCAGGTTCCCTTATAAGCCCCTTTAAACCAAAAAGGGCACCCTTTTTATTCCTAGGTTACTCTTGGGTCTAGATATAGGTTGCCCATAATATTCGGGGGGCTCCTTACTAAAATTACAGTATAATGGGCCTCAAAACCCTATTCTAATTACTAAGGCCTCTGTATTTGGCACGGGGCTTTTGGACAAATCTGAGGTGGGCAGGCCGTTATTATTGGAGTTTGAATCGGTCGGGAGTGTCTAGGGCTTTAATGGCTGGGGGTAGGAAGTAGGCAATAGTTCAGACCATTGACTGCAGACACTATAGGTACTATGGTTCCGTTCCTCATTCCTGGTTTGAGTTCACTATAGTTGCCGGAAGGGTTGTTTCGGACAGAAACCTTCATGAACAACCCTTACCTAGATACCACGGCCGTTAGAGTCATCTCAATTTTCTGAGTGGCCTTTGAGAAAGACTTCCCTATTCGGGGTTGCGAGTTTGCAATATAAGTCGGGCTGGGGCGGTGAGCCGTCAACACCTATTCCTATACCATAAGCCGAAGCCTTAAGCTTCTTTAGATGTGACCACCGCGACAGACTGCTTTAATCTCCCTGCCGTGTTGAAAGCCGATGGCTTTGCGTCGGGAAGCGTGGAGACTGTTCTCAGACATGGTCCGTTACCTCTACCATTCCCACGACCACTACCACTACTACTATTACTACTACTGCTACTGCTACTGCTACTGCTACTACTACTAATAACAATAATTACTAATTACTAATTACTAATTACTAACTACTAATTACTAATTACTAATTACTGATTACTAATTACTACTACTACTACTACTACTACTACTACTACTACCACTACCACTACCACTACCACTACCACTACCACTACCACTACCACTACCACTACCACTACCACTAGCACTACCACTACCACTACCACTACCACTACCACTACCACTACCACTACCACTACCACTACCACCACGACCACGACGAATGGCACTGGTATACCGCCTTTGTTGCTGAGGCCCTAAACCCTATAAACCCTAAATCCTAAACCGAGGTGTACTTGCAGGCCTGTTCTTTGTGTCCACAGCCATGGTCCGCGATGATGCCGGGATCTCGGACTTGGAAGAGTCTCGGGGTTTATGGGCTTTGGCAGGGATTTAGGTGTAAGGGTTTAGGGATTGAAGGTTTAGGGTTTAGGGATTTAGGTGTCAGGGTTTAGGGAGTTAAGATTTAGGGTTTAGGTGTCACTTATTCAAGGGTTTGTGCAGACGTACATGGGATGCTTAGCGTTCGGTGGTTCCCAGGGGCTTCAGGTCTACCAGGATCGTTGTGAGGGTTTCATGCTTGTAAAAGCTTTGAAGAGGGCTTGTGGCTGAGGCTCACGGGGTTTCTACGATTTGGCTGTTACGGTTTGTTTAGGGTTTATTGTTTTGTTAGACAAACGCGCAGAGGCAGCCTCAGCAACGGGGCTAGTTTTCGAACATCCATGCAACTGTTGCTTTTTTTGGTTCTCACTACTTCTATCCGTTCTGATGCTTCAACCAACTCTCTGCTTGGGACATCGACGAAAGCCTGGCTGACTTTCGGGGAGGCTCAAAGCATCTTGATTCTGGCTTCCCCAGTAGTACGCATCTTCCCGCCTTTGTGCAGTGGTCACTCTTTACAACTTAAACTGTAGGGTAAAGAGACTGGTTTCATTTGTTGAGGGGCTACTGGCGGGTAATTGTGGCTCATTTGTCTTGTAGGAATTACCTGTACTATCCGTGGTAAGTCCTTTCCTGTAATTTGTGCACGTGTGAAGTAGCATGTTGTGTGTACGGCATTGTGGCACAAGTGCTCTAGCAGGAAAAAGGTAGATACCCAATGGTATTCTGCTGTGTTTGCTAACACTTGGACGGGTATATTATCAGTGCGTGTGTGCAGTGGTTTACAACAACTATAGGTTATCAGCCGTATAGCCTATGGCCTGGTCACAACTGGTTGGTTACAATACAATCAATCAGCGCATGAGCGAACCGGAACTTATTCCTGCAAGTATGGATACAGTTACAAGCACCGTGAACCCTTTACAGCCCCCGGTCACGGGTGGCCATACAGGGAGCGGCGCCCCCGGCTTAGTTTTCCCGGCACCAGCCTCAGTCCAACAATTCAACGTCTTCGCACCACAGTATAGTGTTGAAGTACACGTTAACCAGATCAGACTGGAAGTCGGAGAACTAGAGGCTCAGGCAGAAGCAAGACACAGGCAAAACATGCTGACCTATCAAGAAGCATCCGCAATTCACACAGCCGACTTGGAGCACAGAGCAGAACGAAACCACCTTGAAGTGGTAGCAGAACTGCAAGCAGCCTTGGCACAAAGCGAGTTCAAGGCGGCAAATCGTGAAAGGCTCCTGTTGTCGGAAATGACTTTGAGTCAAGCGCATTCCTATGATGAAGATCAAAGGTTGCGTCAAGAGTTAGCGGAACTTCAAAACAGCCGAATCACAGACGCATTGGATCAACATTTGGCGGAATCACGCTTTGCACAGAACCTCGAAGAACAGGCGAGACGGCACATCGAGAATTCCCAGGAAGTCATGGTTGAACAGTTCCAAGCACACTTTGAGTTGTTTAGGAACAGGCAGAAAGAAGAGTATGAGGCGTCCCTTGCTGTATGTAGGGAACAGAATGAAGAGCTTCAGGACAAGTTGGATTCTGCGGAAACTGCACTAGAGAAGGTCTTGGATCAGTACAATCCAGCTACTCCAAAGAGTCAGCCAGTGCCTGCTCCAAGCACCCCTGCAGGTCCTTCTGTCGTCCCCAAAGCTCCTCAAGCGCCCATGTTCTCAATGCCGAACGTTATCCCCCAAGGCGCCAGATGTCTGTTCGAGTCAATGAATCCAGGAGGTTTGAATGCTCAGTCCATTCCGTCTGCAACAGCATCTTCAATCCCCAAGGCAGGACCTTCCCAGGCAGCGCCAGGAACAGCGGCCCCTCCAGCGGCCGATTCCGGCACGCCAGGGACGGATGCTTTCAACACAGGTCTCCTAGAGACCCAAATGGCAATTCTTCAAAGCCTAAGAAACATAAGGGGTGAGAGCAAAACCGATGCTGACAAACCCAAAGTAAAAGAAGCAGAGTCTATCAGCCTTCCGGAGTTTCCAAGTCCGGAGTCGTATCGTTCGTGGAAAACGGCAGCTAGGGAAGCGGTCAGGGCAGCATCAGATTCACCTGATGAGGCGTTTAAATGGGTGATGAAGGCCTACGACAAAGACGCATCGCAGGAATCCCTTCGAGACCCCGAGAAATTCCTCACCCTTGACACGAAACTTCTTGCTGCACTCACCAAAGTCGCTAGGGGAGAACTCTCCCGAGAAATCCTCATTTTTAAGGAGACAGAAGCGGCGAAATTCAGGGCGGTACGAGGACGACAGGTGCTCTACCTCTTCGATCAGTACTTCAAGACGAACGAGGAGGTTGGATCACTGTACTCCGTGGAGGACCTGCTGAAAGTAAGGTTAATCAATGACGACCTTTCAGTGTTCATTAGCAACTGGGAATCTGTCATGTCTGGGCTCAGCCACACACCGGACGAAACGACCCTAAGAGACATTTTCCTTCGTGAACTCAGGCAGTCCAAGAGACTAAAGTACGATCTTGAGATTTACGACAGGGCAGCAGAGGGCACGGATCAGCACACGTACAAGTTTCTTGTGAAGTCACTTAAGGATCTTTTGACCCGAGAGCGCAAACGCAAGAACCGTGACCGCATCGCAAGATCTCACGGAGATAAGTACGGTGCCCCTGCCTCAAAGTCTCCGGGCCGAACTTCCAGCCCCTCTTCAAGAGGAGGCCGTGGCAGATCGCAGAGCCCAAGGCCAAGATCACCCAGCAAAGGTAGATCCCAGTCTCCCAGCAAGCCTAGGACACCTAGCCCAAAGGGAGTATGCTATGATTACCTCAAAGGAACTTGCAAGCGAGGCAATAACTGCCCTTTCCTTCACAAGAAGAGATCATTGTCCCCCAAAGGCGACAAACCCAAGAAGAAAATCAACGTGACATGTAAGTTCTGGAAAGAAGGCAACTGCAACAAGGGTGATAAATGTCGGTTCCAGCATAAGGACATAGAGAAGCCCTCAGCTCCAGCACCTAAGTCCGAAGCAGCCCCGGCAGCTCCAAAGCCAGGGTCACCCAGGGCCAACTCTCCTGCTCCGCGCAGAGGGAGAAGTCCCAGGGCTAAGTCAAGTGACAAGGCCCCAAAGACGGCCGCATGCGCCATCGCGTTCGAGAATACAGCGGATCTTGAGATCTCGCCAAAGCTCGCTATGGCAGCGTCACATGACGAGGACTACTGGGAGGTAGACTTCACCGGCAACAAAATCATCCGCCACCACAAGAAATACCGAACGGATTGGTATGTTCCTGACAATTCATGTCCAGTGAACCCCAAGAAGCTTAGGAGCCAAGCTAAGCTCGAGCAGGTTTTGCCGGTCTCCCCTTTCGTGGGAAACAAGATCTACAACTGGAGGAAGACCCCAACCAAAGGACCCGGCAGCACATGGGTAGGTAAGACGATCTTCTACATGCAAGAACTCCCTAAGGTGAGTTTCGACAGCACCGTAGAAATGATTGCCATCGAACCGGAAGGAAAGCAGAGAAAGCATGCCTACCTTCCCAGGGTTTATGATGAAGTCTATCCCACTGTCGAGGCATGTCCACGCTCGAATCCTAAGGATCTGAAAAGGGCTCTTGTGTGGGCAAAGCAGTTTGCCACCA